TTAAAGAAACCGGAGGACCCGCTCTTTGCTCTGTCTTGAGCCATCCATAGTTAAATTGGAAGGCGGCAGTCAGAAACCCACAGCCTCGAGTTGGGTGGTGGCTCTGTTCTTGAGCTTTGATTATGGGGTGCTGAGTTGTGGTTGCTGAGTCCTGGGGTCAGCAGATCTGCTGAAGATCTCTGGGATGCTGGCACCAGCAACTAGCTTCCACGTTCACATCCTGGTGGGCCCCCACAAAGCTCCATTATGCGGTAGGTGCTTCAGGATTGAAGATGTGGGGCCAGGGTGGGTCCCAAGCACAGTGCGGCGACCTGGTGGCCTTAGTGACACCCCCTCCCTAGGCTCTGTCCAGCAGTTAAAACCTGAGATGCACCCCACAGAGGCGCTGCAGAAATTCCCAACCCTCCAGGGCCCCGTCTGTCCTTCCTGTGGCTTGGCCAACAGGCCAGAAATAGTGTAACCTTTGCCCTGGCTGGCAAATGGAAACTTCCAGCTGCTGTCCTTGCCGCCATGGATCACAAGCCTGCTAGCGATGGTGTGGCAGTTGGTCACAGGGTGGGGACAAAATTAAGTCGGAGGGAATTTTCTATTTTCTTTTTGAGACACAGTCTTGAGCTGTCACCCAGGCTAGATTGCAGTGGTGCAATCTCAGCTCACTGCAACCTCCACCTCCTGGGTTCAGCGATTCTCCTGCCTCAGCTTCCCGAGTATCTGCGATTACAGGTGCCTGCCACCACGCCTGGCTAATGTTTTTTCTGTTTTTAGTAGAGACAGGGTTTCGCCATGCTGGCCATGCTAGTCTCCAACTCCTGACTTCAGGTGATCCACCCACCTCAGCCTCTCAAAGTGCTGGGATTACAGGTGTGAGCCACTGCGCCCAGCACGAATATTCCTAAATATAAGAGGTGTGTCCCCCACCCACCCTTCTCAAGTGGAGCTCGGGGTCGAGAGAAGGAGGGGGTGAATTTTGGGCTAAGGAGCCTGCTGATGTCACTTTTCTTGTCTTTTCAATTATCTGTATTGGCTTTTTGAATGTCAAAGTAAAAAGATGTGAAGATTACAGGAATCATGTCCTGATAATACTTACCTCATATCAAGCCCTTACTATGTGCCAGGCGCCTTCTGAGGACTTGGCTGCAATTGTCTGTTACTCTTCACACAAGCTCAGTGAGGCAGTCCTGTTATTACCATTTTTATTTTAAGAATGAGGAGAACGCAGCTTCAAGAAGGTAAGTAACTTGCCCAACGTCACCCAGCTTAGCCGAGGAAGAGCCAGTCTTCACACACAGGCCTTGCCGCGTCTAGACTACGCGTTTATTTTTTAGAGTGAGCACTTTTAAAAGAGTAACTTATTTTTTTGTTTTGAATTTAAAGGTCACAAAGACACACAGAAATTGTCTGCTGTCTCTTTTCCAAGATAACCTCTGTTGATATGGGGGAAAAAAAAAAAAAAGCTGGGTGTGGTGGCTCATGCTTGTAGTCCTAACACGTTGGGAGGCTGAGGCAGGAGGATCACTTGAGCCCAGGAGTTTGAGACCAGCCTGGGAAACGTGGCAAAACCCTATCTCTACACAAAAAATACAAAAATCAGCTAGTCATGGTGGTGTGTACCTGTAGTCCCAGCTACTCGGGAGGCTGAGGTAGGGGGATTGCTTGAGCCCAGGAAGTCAAGGTTGCAGTGAGCTGTGATTGTGCTATTGCACTCCAGCCGGGGCAACACAGTGAGACTCTGTCTTAAAAAAAAAAAAAAAAGAAAGAAAAAAAATGGCCAGGCGCAGTGGCTCATTCCTGTAATCCCAGCACTTCAAGAGGTCGAAGCGGGTGGATCACTTGAAGTCAGGAGTTTGAGACCAGCATGGCCAACATGGTGAAACCCCGTCTGTACTAAAAATACAAAAATTAGCCAGGTGTGGTGGCACACACCTGTCATCCCAGCTACTTGGGAGGCTGAGGCAGGAGAATTGCTTGAACCTGGGAGGCGGAGGTTGCAGTGAGCCGAGATGGCACCACTGCACTCCAGCCTGGGTGACACAGTGAGACTCTGTTTAAAAAAAAAAAAACCAAAAAAACACAGTCATTGTTTATAAGGTTAACAATTCAAATGCCAAAGAGGTTCAAAATGAAATGTAAGGCCACCTCCTTTCCCCTCTTCTCACATTCTCTCTGTTGTGAACTTTCTTTTTATTCCCCCCAAATTGAAATGATGCTTGTTTCTACTCTCAGCCACTACACCATTTCCCCAACCTTCCAGAGAGGATCACTGTCTATATAGTTCTCTAGATTTGTCTCTATGCCTGTTTTATTTTCATGATCCTCAAATGGGCTCACTCTTTGCATGTGGCCCTGCCGCCTGCCTTGGGCATCTTTATGTGTGAGCGGTAGGTGACGTTCTCTGGATGAAACACCTCTTCGTGCCTCCCCTCTCTCTCCCTGTGCCGGCGCACTGGCCCTCTCTGTCCCGAGTCCTTTGCCCGTGTTCGCCCTGGAAGAGGAGATGGCTTCTCATGGCCTCTCGATAGCCCTGTGGGGCGGGGAAAGTGAAGGAGGCAGGGCTGTGGCCCTTCTGCTCAGACAGACTCATGGGCAGCCTCCTTGGCAGTCCTGGGGGTTCCATCTGGAGATGTAGGGCTGTGTGCCTGGGGTGGCAGCATCGGCATGGGAGCAGTTGCCCTGAGGTTGATCTGTGTGTGGTGGGGCTGGACGGTTGCCTGTGGGGCGTGTGCACCGGAAGTGAGCTGGCCTCTGTGCTGGTGACTCTCAGACTCTGCAGAGATGGCATGAGCTTCGCCTGAGGACTTGAAGTACCTAAGAACCTTCTTTGCTGGGGCAGAAGACCAGCTGCTGAGGGAGGCCAGGATAAGGCACTGCCACTGTCTTGCTGTGGGACCTGGCACATCCTCTTCCAGATCCTGGGCCTCAACGTCCCCACCCACCCACACAGGGAGGGCCTGGACCCCCTGGGCCCTGGGATCCTGGCCAGCTCTGGGAGTGCACCATCCTTTGGCTCGAGGGTCCTTCCCTGGCGCAGTCTCCTTCATGTGAGGATTCTGGTTGTGTCTTGGCAGCAGGCCCTACAGGACAAGGGGTGCAAGAGCCAGAGTCAGGGGATGAAAGAAGAGAAGCTTTGGAAGAGACAGGCACCGGCCCCCAGGCGGGCCCGGGGGACCCAGGAAGCTGGTGGCACCATGAATGTAGAGAATACAGGTAAAGCAGGCCTGCCCGCCGACCCGGCACTCCCCAGTGAAGCCAGCACAGGAGGGAGGCTCTTGTGTGGTTGGTGCTATCCCTATGCCCTGTCCTCCCTGGCTGGAGGTGGCCTAGACAGACTGCAGCTGCCTGACCCACAGCTCCAAGCCCCCAGCCTGCCTCTCCCGGATTCAGGGACAGTGGTGTGTATGGAACCTTCATCTCGACCTGCCTCCCACAGCATCCAGGCCCCACCCAGTGATAAGAGGCCTTGGCCAGCGTGGGCTGGGGTTGAATTTCTCTGCTTTTTGTCTTTTCCCAGTGCCTGTCTAAACCAGGGCGAGGGTGGCAGCCTCACAGACGCCACTGCCCGCAGAGAGAGACTCGGCCTTCTCCCTCCTATGCATGGGCTCCCAGGGTCTGGAGGCTCCTAGAACAGGACTTTGATTCTCCTGGTCACAGGCTGAGATAAAGGAGCCGGTGGCTCAGCTATTCTCTGGCAGGGTCTGCCATGGTGTCCAGGGCTGGCTGGTTCTGGAAGATTCTACAGGCCCCCCTTGTAGTCTTATGGGTCCATGCCGGGGATCCCTGGCAGTAAGCGAGAGCCCGGTGATAATGGGGAAGCAGCATCCTCCAGGATCCCAGGGGAAGGCCGAGAGCATGTGAAGGAAAGAGGAGCTGGCCTTTCTGTCATCTTCCTCCTCCATCGCCAAAAGGTTAACTTGTGTGTCTGAACTTGCCACGTGGTGGAAGGAGCCACTCCCTTCTCTGAGGCTGTCCGGAGCCCCGTTCTGGCGTTCTGGCCTGTCTGGGCCCAGGCACTCTTCTGCAGCGAGCGGCAGGGGTTGGGGTCTGGCTGAGTGTGAGCAGGCCAGCCTCGGGCAGGGGACATCATCTTGCTGATTGTGCGTTGAGAAGAGGAAGGCCGATTGCAGGGAACAGCAAGGGTGACCCGGTCAGTGGGGCCAGGCCGTGCCTGCGTCGCATCTTTGAACCCTGAGTGCAACCTCTCCAGCACAAGGGCCCCTTTGATCTCACCTCGTCCTCCCATCCTCCCCTTTCTGGGACCTCCCTGAGCTTCTTGGAGATCTTTTCTCCACAAGCACTCTCCTGGCCCCTGTCCCACTGCCCTGCCGCGGTGCCGAGACCCGGCGAGCCCCTCTGGGGGTGACATCCCAGGACGTGAGCAGTGTTCCGGATGAACTGGGCCCTCCGAGGCCTCATTTCTGCCCCATGGCCTGTTGTGTAACAGCCACCCACGCCTGTGCATCTCCACGGTGCTGGGCTCCTTTCAGGCAAGGCCCCTTGTCCCCATTTCTCCTAGGAAGCTCCTGCCGGGCCCCTCCCACACGTCTCTCGAGTGGCAGAACCAGCTCCCGGGCCAGGAGTCCAGTGCGTTCCCTGCCTCACTGCAGCAGCCTGCAAAGGGCTGAGGGCCACGCTGGTCACATGCCGCTCATGCTGCCGCGTGTGCAGGCCTGGAAGCATCCATCTGACCTCACTCGCTCTAGAACAGATCACAGGAGCTTGGCCAGCTCTGTGTGACATGCATGCTGCATCACGTGCAGGCCACACGGCCAGGGTCACCACCCAACCAGGGATGCCCAGCTCCAGCTCTCCGGAGTGCTCGGGTGGAGGAGGGAAGAGCCAACCTGTGTGTGCCCCTCCTGCTCTCCTAGAGCGGGGCGGGGGGCCTCTACCCATCTGCCCCTCCTCCTGGGGCTGTGCCAAGATGTCCCCGCCCAGCTGCAAGCTGTACCCTCCCCACTTCCCCGTCCATCTGAGTCCGTTTGGCTTCCCTCAGGCCAGGCTGTCAGAGGGGTGTGTGACTTCAGGTGCAAGTGGCTTCCTTCCCAGGGTCTAGGAGCCCCCAACCCCAGCCTGCTGAGGGCTGGGATTCCTGGGGACTAATGTGGGAACGCCTAGAGCCCCAAGCTCCAAGGTAGAGAGCAGTGCTCTCTGGCCAGCAGATGCCCCTCTTCACCCTTCACTCTGCCATGCTCTGTCATGTCCCATTTGTGCTCCCTGAAGGGAGGAGGCAAATCCCCCACCCTTCCTTCCCAGCTCCCCATTCTTCTCTCTCTCCCCCAAACTCTTTGCCCCCTACCTGCAGAGACCATGGGCATTCTTGGCGCCCTGGAAGCAAGCTATAACAAGCATCCCAGGCCCCGTGCACAGGTCATGGGCCCCGATTCTGTGTTCTTGTCCTTCATCCATCTGTCCATCTCTCTCATTCCTGGTGACAGGACAGTGGCAGGCCTTTGGAGGAGGAGGACTCCCTCTGTCTTGCCTGGGAGGTCCCTGCGCTCCATCCTTGCTAGGCGCTGGCTGGCTGAGTTCTTGCCCCATGTGCAGGGCGGGCTTTGTGTCCTGGTCTGTCTGTCCCTCCCACATGCACACGGCTCCCCTGGCTCCCCTCTCTCTGCACAGTTGACCACTTGCCACATGGGGAGGCTGGGGAGCCCCACTCTTCTCTTCTGTACTCTTGAGAGGGTTTGAGACTTAAAGAAATAACGTTCCCACAAGAATAGAATTTTCTAGGGTGAGAATCCCTTGTCTTTCCCAGCTGCGATTCCTTGCAGCCTGGCCATGGAGAGAGGCTGGCCCATCAGACCTAGAACATGTGCTTTGAGAGCCGTTTTCAGTGGAATTTGCTTTCTTAAGTCCTGATCCAGGCAATTTAATCCCCCAGATGCTGCCTGGGGAAGTGTCTTTTTCTGGGACAGGCCCTGGAGGCCCCAGCTAACCTATGCCGCTGCTGCCCCAGCTTCACCTGGTTGCCCACCCCCTCTGCTTGCACCCCTATCATCCCTGGTGGTCTGCCCTGTTGTGATGGACCCTCTCCTCTGCCAGCGTGGGACCTCTGCTGCCCTCTCATCAGCCACTACTTTGCTTGTAGGTGGGCGTCTCTTTGGCAGCAGGAGGTGCTTGAGCCTGTCAGGGCCACCAGGTGCGGCCCCCGTGGTGCATAGGATGGTGGAGGCCATGTCCCAGCTCCAGGAGGAGAAGGCCCAGCTACAGGAGGAGCTGGTGGTCCTACGGGAGAGGCTGGTCCTCCGCGACAGTGACCAGCAGGTCACATCCACCCAGCTGCAGAACCAGGTACCTGGGGAGGCTGGGATGGGCAGAGGCCACTGCCCACTATGGAGCAGGTCAGAGGACACCACCTGGGGCACCTGACCCCACCAGGCTACTGGTGTAAGAGGAGACAGCTGGGGTCTCGTCTCCTGGAATATGCTGGAGGGTAGGGTGGTAAGAGTCAGAGGCCTCCCATCCTGGAGGATGCACTTTTGAGATGCAGCATTTCTTTCAGCTTACAGGGGCCTCCCATCCTGATCCTTCTTGTGCCCCATCTCCTTGGGTTACAGGGGGCCAGGACCTGCCTCCCTAGGAGGTGATGTAGATGTGAGTGGAACAGGAAGGTGCGGGGTGCTTCCCACCCTGAGTCCACCCCATCTTCCGTGGTGCCCTGCACTGGGCAGCCCGAGTGGACAAAACTCATCAGATGGTCACCCCACAGGAGGTTGGCATGACATTTCTCATGCTTTTGATTTCTCGTTAAAGGTGGACGCTAGTTTGAGTGCGTGTTGGGGAAGGGATCTCTCAAACCTCTGGAAGCCAGGGAGAGCCAGGGTTCATGCAGGTCAGCGTTGTCTCCTTCGTTGACTGGGCAGAACATTTGGGTACCATTGGCTGATAAGCTGCGTGTCCTGTGGGGCTGACCACCGGCCCTCTTGTGTATGTGTGGCTGCGTCACTTTCTTCTCCTTCTGGATCTCCACTCAGCTCCCAGCCCTCCTTCTCCGCTCTTCTCCTCAGTGGCTGTCTCTGTGGTTGTATCTCAGCCTTGCCCACTTCCCCAAGATCTCCAAGCCCATCTGCCACATCATCCCCCCTTCTGATCCAGTGCCCTGGCCTGGCTGTTGGGCCTCTGAGCTCTGGGCCCAGGACTCTGTGTTGACAGACTGGCCTTCAGGTAGAGCTAAGTTCTTTGTGTGTCCCGTGAGCCAGCAAAGAGATGGCCTGGACATGCCGATGTCTGCCTATTGTGCCTCATATGTGCTGTGACTTGTTCTCTCAGTTCTGGGGGCAGCATATTGTGCACGCTTTTGAAATGCAGCATTTCTTCCAGCTTACAGGTGTGTTCTCTTCTCAAGAATGGCCTGGCCTGCCCCCATGCCCCTTGCTAACTCGGGTGGGCCTCCTTGGGGTGCCCCTCATGCTCTGTGTCTTCTTCTTACACACTTACCCCACAGCTTGACTATCTGGGCCTGCCTTCCCCACTAACTGGGGGCTCCTGTAGGCCAGCCCTGTATCCTCTTGCCTGCTGCATGCCCACCTGCTTCCTTGGGTATTTGTGCATACCCCTTTTGTACTCGCACTGAGCTGGGCATGGGGGATACCCCAGTGGACAGTAGGCTCCCACCCGGTGGAGGCTCTGCCTGTGGGAAAATGGACATTTGCTTCACACACCCACGTAAAGTGGGAAGGGCTTGATGGGATGGGCACACGCATGGCCTCGAGGTCTTGTCCCTGGGCATCTTGAGCTAAGCTCTGGGACAGAGCAGAGGGAAGTGCACTCTGAGCTGGGGCCCATCCAGTGCAAAGGGACTTGTGGTAGGAGGGGCGTGGCTCAAGCGCCTTGGGGATTGCAGGGGGTCCAGGGCCCACCCTGCAGGACACGCATCTGGCCTCAGGCAAAGGCTGAGCAGCCCCTCTTCCTTCCCTGACCTTCCCCAGTTACGCTCTTCAGACACTTCATTTTGCAAATAAGTGTTTTTTTAAAGGGCTTCGTGGGCTGGGCGCAGTAACTCATGCCTGTAATCCCAGCATTTTGGGAAGCCAAGGCAAGTGGATCGCTTGAGATCAGGAGTTCAAGACCAGCCTGGCCAACATAGTGAAACCGCGTCTCTACTAAAATTACAAAAATTAGCTGGGTGTGGTGGCGGGCACCTGTAATCCTAACTACTTGGCAGGCTGAGGCAGGAGAATCACTTGAACCTGGGAAGGGAAGGTTGCAGTGAGCCAAGATCACGCCACTGCACTCCAGCCTGGGCAACAAGAGCAAAACTCCGTCAAAAAAAAAAAAAAAAGAAAAGAAAAGGAGTTTGTGGAGATATAATTCACATGCCATAAAATTCACCCCTTGAAGGTGTACAGTTCGGTAGTCGGTGGTAAGTATATTAAGATGGCAATGCACCCATCACCAGTGTCTCATTGCCAAACATCTTCATCACTCCACCGGGCCTACTGACGGTCACTCCCCATGCTCCTTGCCCCACGGCCCCTGGCAACCTTTCATCTGCTTTCTGTTTTTATGGATTTGTCTTTTCTGAACATTTCATAGAAGTGAAATCATAGTATCTAACCTTTTGTGACTTTAAAGAGGTTTTTGAAAACATTTTTCCTTTAATTAACAAAATCAACTTACGTTTTAAGAAGGGAAACTGAGGAGGAAAAATCCCAGCCTTTTTAGTTCTTTGACCCCCAGCTCTCCAGCCACTCTTAGGAGAAACCCTGAGCCTATCCCACTCCCGCAAGTGACTTGGGAATTCAGAATGGTTCCTGGTCTTTGTTCTCATTTTGTCCTTGAACGTTGTTTTTCTTTTTCTTTTCCTTTTTTTTGAGATGGAGTTTTGTTCTCGTTGCCCAGGCTGGAATGCAATGGCGCGATCTCGGCTCACTGCAATCTCCACCTCCCAGGTTCAATCGATTGTCCTGCATCAGCCTCCTGAGTAGCTAGGATTACAGGTATCCATCACCATGCCTGGCTAATTTGTATTTTTAGTAGAGATGGGGTTTCACCATGTTGTTCAGGCTGGTCTCGAACTCCTGACCTCAGGTGATCCACCTGCCTCGGCCTCCCAAGGTGCTGGGATTACAGGCATGAGCCACGGCACCCGGCCTATCCTTGAACTTTCTGACTGCAGCTCTTTTCTGGAAATTTCTCAGGGGATGTATCTGAAGCTCCAGGTCTCTGAGATACTCTCTGGGGGGCCCAACCTTGTGGAGATGTGGCCAACCACATGGGTCTAGAGCTGGGTTCAAACCCTGACTTTGGCACTACTCATTAGCTATGTGACCTTGGGACAGTTAATTACCACTCTGCAGGTCAGTTTCCTCATCTGTGAAATGGATGTAATAATAGGATGTGGTGAGATGATCCTTAGTGAGTCATTGGTGTTGCTGTGGCCACACCATTGTTGTTACTGGGAGAGTTTTGGATTTGGAATCCCGTGAGCAGGATTCTATTCTGGCTATGCCACGTGCCAGCTGGGCAGGTGTAGGAAGTCACCTTCTCTCTGAGCCTTCACTTCCCAGTCTCTAAACTGGGGCTTACAAATGTTCCATTTGCAGTTTAGGGGTGGATCTGTTGTAAGAGTGGACAGAAAAAAGGATGGTCAACTGTAATGTGTGGTGCGTCGTGAGCTATCACTCCCGTGTGCCCTGGTCTCCTGCTAGCCTCACTGTGGTTTGACGCAGACTTGGACTTTCCTGGAATTCTGAACGTTGCCTCTCTAAGCAAAGCCCGCCAGGGGATACACTGTGCCGTGTTTTCCGTGGGTGCTGTGTTCCCAGCCCTGTGCACACTGGCTTCTGATCGGCTGCTTTCTCACACTGCTGTTCCTGCAAGGCTGTGTGGCCCCATGGTTAAGGGTGAGGGTTCTGCAAGGGTCAGTCAGATGCGAGTTCCAGTGCTAGGTCCACCACTTACTGGTCAGGTGACCTCAAGTAAGTTGCCTAACCACGGCTTAACCTCTTAGGAGCTCAGTTTTTCTTCCTGTAAAATGGGGATAATAATAGTTCCTACCTCAGGGGAATAGGGGATGAAAAATGATCTTATGAAATCCCCCTGCCCTACTGGCAAAGCTGACTCAGTTAACGGGGCTCCATTATCACTGTTGGGATCTGGGCTTGTGGGGGCTGCAGTGGTCTTTTCAGGCCTCCCCACGGCTGTGCCAAGTGGAGGAGGTGTTTGTATATACTGAGAGCAATTGGGCCAAAGGTCCATAGTCCTTGAGCACCCAGCTGACCCAGGCCACAGAGGCTGCTCATCTCGGTCTGGTGACCACAGGAGGCTGTGGCTGTTGGGATGACCCTCCCCAGTGTTGTTAACAACAGTTCCAGGCCACGTCCTGCTGGCCTTGAGTTCCCCTGTCCTCTTGTGGATGTCCCTAGAGCCATGGCCTCAAGGTTCCTGAAGTTCCCAACAATGTGACATGCTGCCCAGACCTCACTACACTCCTTTTTTGAGACGGTCTCACTCTGTCACCCAGGCTGGATTGCAGGGGCGTGATCACAGCTCACTGTAGCCCCTGCCTACCGGGCTCAAGCCATCCTCCCACCTAAGCCTCCTGAATAACTGGGACCACAGGTGTCCACCACACCTGGCCCACTTTTGTATTTTCTGTCCAGATGGAGTCTTGCTATATTGCCTATGCAGGTCTCAAACTCCTGGACTCAAGAGATCTGCCTGCCTCAGCCTCCCAAAGTGCTGGGATTACAGGCGTGAGCCACTGTGCCGGACACTCACCGCACTCCCTTCCTGGCCCCTGCACCTCAAGAGTGAACCTTAAAAAACTGTCTTCAGGCCGGGCACAGTGGCTCACACCTGTAATCCCAGAACTTTGGGAGGCCGAGGTGGGCAGATCATCTGAGGTCAGGAGTTCGAGACCAGCCTGGCCAACATGGTGAAACCCCGTTTCTACTAAAAATAAAAGAATTAGCCGGGTGTGGTGTTGCACACTTGTAAGTCTAGCTACTAGGGAGGCTTGAACCTGGGAGGCAAAGGTTGCAGTGAGCCAAGATTGCGCCACTGTACTCCAGCCTGCGTGACAGAGCAAGACTCCATCTCAAAAAAAAAAAAAAAAAAAAGAAATTGTCTTCAGAGGCCACAGGCTGGAAAACTAGCTCTTGCCCTCAAATGTGTCTTGTTTGGCTGCCGTCTTCTTCTTCTTCTTCTTTATTTTTTTTTTTATCATTTTAAAAATAGATGTAACATAAAATTTACCATCTTAAGCATTTTTTTTTGTTTGTTTGAGAGAGTCTTGCTCTGTCGCCCAGGCTGGAGTGAAGTGGCACGATCTCAGCTCACTGCAACCT